GAGTTCAAATCTAGCCTCAGACCAAACACTTGACACTTACTAGCTGTGTGACCTTGGGCAAGTCACTTAACTCCAACTGCCTTAAAAAAAAAAAAAAGAAATAGAGAGGTAGATCAGTGGAATAGATTAGGTACACAAAACACAGTAGCAAATGACCATAGTTACCAATCTAGCGTTTGATAAACCCGAAGACTCCAGTTTCTAGGATAAAAATTCAATATTAGACAAAAATTGCTGGGAAAACTGGCAAACAGTATGGCAGAAATAAGGTATAGAACAACATCTATATACCACCGTATACCACCATATACCACCATATACCAAGATAAGGTCAAAAGAGGTACATGATTTAGACATAAAGGGTGATACTATAAGCAAATTAGGAGAGCAAGGAATAGTTTACCTGTCAGATCTATGGAGAATGGAAAAATTTATGAGCAAACAAGAGGTAGAGGACATTATGAAATGCAGATGGATCATTTTGATTACATTAAATTAAAAAAGTTTTGTACCAACAAAGACAATGCAACCAAGATTAGAAGGGAAGCAGAAAGCTGGGAATTACACCCAGTGTCTTTGATAAAGGTCTCATTTCTAAAATATATTCCCCAATTGATAAATGGTCAAAAGGTATGAACAGACAATTTTCAGATGGAGAAATCAAAGCTATCTATAGTCATATGGAAAAATGCTCTAAATCACTATTGATCAGAGAAATGCAGATCAAAACAACTCTGAGGTACCACCTCACACCTATCAGATTGGCTAATATGACAAAACAGGAAAACGATAAATGTTGGAGAAGATGTGGGAAAATTGGAACAGTAATGCATTGTTGGTGGAGTTGTGAACTGATCCAACCATTTTGGAGAGCAATTTGGAACTATGCCCAAAGGGCTATAAAAGTGTGCACCCCCTTTGACCCAGCAATAGCACTTCTAGGGCTATATCCCAGAGAGAACATACAAATGGGAAAAGGACCCACATGTACAAGAATATTTACAGCAGCTCTTTTTGTGGGGGCCAAGAATTGGAAACTGAGGGGATGCCTTCCCCATACTCTTCTACCCTCCTGGCTGTTTCACAAACAAGACCCTCCATCTCCCGGCTCCTGGCATTCTCTTTGGCTGCCCCCCAAGCCTGGACTGTTCTTCCTCCTCCACTCTGACCACTGACCTCTCTAGCTCCTTTTAAGTCCCAATGAAAATCCCACCTTCTACAGTAAACCTTCCCCAACCCCTCCTCTTTCTAGTGCCTTCTCTCCTTCAATTATTTCTTATCTATCCTGTATATAATGTGTTTGTCTCTATTGGTTTGCATATTGTCTCCCCCATTAGACTGTGAGTTCCTTGAGGACAGAGACTGCCAGTTGCCTCTTTTTATGTCCCCAGTACTTAATAGGGTGCCTGGCACATAGTAGGTGCTCAATAAATGTTTATTGAATTGAATTGGACAGAAGGAGAAATGAAATGAGAAGCTTGGGAAATAGGTCACAAATGTGGTACAGAAGCGTGATTACTAACACCTGCGCCTCTGCCAGGGCTCTTCTGTCTGTCTCTTCTCTTCCCCCTACCCCTGTCTCTCTCTCTCTCTCTCTCTCTCTCTCTCTC